ATGTATGTATGTATGTATGTATGTATGTATGTATGTATGTATGTATACCCCTCCTCTAGAGCTCATAGGTGATTGGTGTGCGGTATAATGGCTTGTTAATGCTGTGTGGGAGAGCGCCAGCTGTTGTGATGATAGAGTAACTTGCATAGATCAACACACATGATGGCGAAGTGCTGATGTCCATGAACACGAAATAAAATCAAAGTAGTGTAAATTTCTGAGTCCGCCTAGTACATGAAGCGAATCGAAGAATCAAAGTAGTGTAAATTTCTGAGTCCGCCTAGTACATGAAATGTCACATATGCAACACTATACCATACCGTGCTGTACCATACCATATATTATATAATTTCGTGTCATATAATACATAACTTTGGGAACACCCCCTGGTGGTCATTTTATTCGTATTTTTCTTCCTTGACCTTCAGCGACTGATAACTGATTCTATAGGAATTGAAGCCAAGCCAAATCATCCAAGTGAAAAATGCCCTTCCCAAAAATACAGAAGTGTAAAAAAAATCAATTTGCAACGGGGAATCAAATGGCGAAATTCGCTCGTCTTTTTAACGCTGAAAATTGTTCGCTTTCTGAATATTAAATCTAAAACCAAACAGCGAAATAAGTCCGATTTTTGACTATTTCCTAGGCTGCGATATTATGGTTTGATCCACTTGACTTCGAATAAGATTTTAAGAGTGCGCGTAGGTGATGCGATACTATGTTTTTCTAAAATATTTACACATGAAAGGCTAAACGCGTTAAACGAGCAATTGTAGTTTGCTGCCTTTCAATTTTTTTGCCAGCTCTTACGTTCGTTGATTTCAGATGCTCCTGCTCTGGTTCCTCACGTAGAAGCCGTATTTCGTGTTTTAAATGGCTGGGCTATGCAACTGCAACAAAATCTGTGTTATCATAATGATGGATGTCCTGTAAATCTTCTTCCACACATGAGTGTTAATATGAACAACTTTGAGCTCGCATCCACGTCAGGGTTACCCCTTTGCTGCTTCCGTCTCACTAATATCTCTTGTATTTCTAGTTTTTATAGGAAATATGCAATTTTAACAGAAAGGAATAATACTCCATTCGAGACGAATGCTCCGCAAAGCCGCCCTTTGCGGCGTCTTTGGACCTACCTGGTCAATCAAAGGCATCTTCAGAAAGTATTCCTATGGCATATTTTTCCACTGATTCCGCAACAAGTAGGTTCACGCAAGCGAAGTATTGTGACATGCTTTCTTCATAATGATGGCTTCATAAATGTCTCATTCCAGGAACTGCTGAAAGAACGAAATCACATGGCGACATGTGATGAATCGCTACCTGAAGCATTCAAAATTGTCCATAAAGACCACGAACCGATTATTGCATTTGCATGTAGTCAGGTGAAGTCGTGAGGAATAGGCAAAACTCAGCATGTCATAAACAGTGACCATAAGCAGTCAACGGTCATGTGATGAGGTTCAAGTAAGAATCAAAGATGGTGTCCTAAAACGCGCATCAGCTAATTTTGTATGACTTTTGGCATTACGGGATGCTGGAATCAGGGTGCAAGCGCAGAGCCGCATAACTTATGCGTTGATAGGAGGGAAATTCTAAGGATGTGCACCTCATAACGAATTCAATAAGGTAGAAGGAGCTGCTCTAAAAAATTAGGAAAAAGTTTTGTCATGCAGACTTGGTGCTGTTGATTTGGTGTGTAAAATACTCCTCTCAGGTTACCCTTTTCATCAACACGACCATTCCTTTGAGACAATTAACAAGTTTCATGAAATATGTGACCTAGAGTAAAGTTGTCATATAGGAAAAGCCAGGATGGCTGGCTCTATCAACTGGAAGAGAATTGCAAGAAATGGATATTTCTGATGCATTCGAAGAGCCGAGAAATGCGTCGTCATCGTCTTCTAGTCACGCAGAATTGGTTGTTTTGCTAGCGTCTAAGGAACTGCCATTGTTTATGAATGCTTCAGGTTCCTTCAATATCATATCGACGTGATCCTCGGAACAGAAATGTTGATTATGTGCTCATAACGGAAAATACAACTCAAGTCATACACTCATCGAAAGCGGCATCAATGGTAGTGTAGATTCACAATTTTCGATTGTATAATAGAGAGTTGATATTGGCCTGTGATCAAAGTTTTTTTTCTGACTAATAGCAAGCATGGTTGCGTGAAAAAAAGTAGAAAAAAATATAAATGGTCACACGCCTTAACCTTTCTGTGATTATTGAAGATATGTTGTAGTAGAATAACGGTGATTGCGGTATCGTTGCACAAAACCTTTCAGATTCTCAAGCGAACTGTGAATGGAATACGTCGTATAGATTCACATCCTTCTGCGCCTTTATGTGAGTGAAATATTAATCATCTCCAATGTCTTCCTACAGTACTCGTGTCTTTCCTTATCTGTAATTTGTTCACAATACCCTCAATCAAAATTTCCCCCATCAATTCAACATTGGACGGCATAAGGTAGTACAAAGTGTCGCTATATTAAGCCAACCAGACCCTCGATGTCTTCATGGTTGGTAATTTATTACCAGACTCATTTGAAGAATGAAAGTACTGAGACCTACAGAGTCTGATTCCGAGGCTTTCGATACTTACCTCGAGGTGACTTTTATACTCCTTTCAGTTGAAGGGTTCAACAAAATGAAAATGAAAACAAAAATTGAAGCGCTCCTTTAAATAAAGGGTTCGTCAAAGTAATGGTCACACCTTCAGGTTTGCATTTTTTCGGCAAGGGCGGCTGAAGCAATGCATACCAGAAGTGGCACAACTTAACCCTCTGCAATATGAGTTCCTCCGTTTTTATGACCTTCATAGACACGAAAAAATCGATTACGCGTGGCAAGTCACTGATATATATTTCCTTTTAAGATTACAGGCCATCCCTTCATCAAGATCAACAGAGTATCTTCTTCAAAGCTTCTTGAAAGACTTCGACGCTCTCCGAGGAATCAATTCTTTCTCCAAAATTGCGTTGTGCCAGTGCTATCTGGAAGCATCTCTGCGTCCAAGTTGACGAGTATAATGCCGCAGCGTTACAGCTGATCGAACTACGATCGGTACTAGATTTGCAAAACGGTTCTTTGTTCGATGTAAGATTACGAGAACGCTGATGCAAGTATTCTGTTGATTTGGAAGTTGTATACTGAAGCACCTTCAGTGAACAGCTTCTTGTCGGAGAAGATGATTATCAGCTTTCGCCTTCGAGCTCCTACTTCTTTTTCTGATTAAGTAGGAGTAAGGATTTTGTACACGTTAAGAAGCGAGTCTAGATTGACTTGATATGACCCTTCTGAAGCGATATGGCCCTTCCGCAATCCCGAACTTACTGGCTACATTTCATCACCCTGTCTTTGGGAATGCAAAAATGTCCCTTTTGACGAAATATATAAACCAGTGAACCGTAATATTCTTCATACAACTCTGCTCTGTATCATTGCGATTTTGGAAACGAACTATTGTTTCGGAAACTACGCTGCCATATAGGCAAAGTCTTCGCACGATGTCACCCTTCTTTCCCATGATTGAGGAAGTTTTCAGCTGTAGTTCAACTAGGGAAAGTGTTCACTATTCTTGTAAGACAATGATTCACCACAAAACTCGAAACATATAGCATGCGCATGCGGATACAGAATGTATGTATGCATGCAGAATTGCGACATTTCTTCTAAAGCAAACTTTCATCGTAGTGGAAGTGTTTTGCTATAAGGGGACGCATCTCCATAGATATTCTCTGATCTCCCCTATATTGCTTTATCTTCCCTATAGAAGGCTTTTATTTGATCAATTCGTGTGTGTAGCTGCTGAACCTCTACCTCCTGCGTGTGCCACTTTTTTCGAATGTTCTTCCTCACTTGCTTGCCGACCCTTTTTCTTTGGTCTTGTTATCACATGCCCGCACTTATGTATTGTACTAATAGCATCAGTACTAATCATCCTTCTTCCGGGTCCCGAACTGCCACCATCTCCGAAATCTTGAGCACAACTTTCTTTTGCCGTGTTGTAGAGTTATGCAAGCTCCTCTGTATGGTCGACGTGTCGCCTTAGCCGTTATCCCTCCAAAAGTTCCCTCCAATCACTGCTGATCTATTCAACTCCACCAGTAGCAACGAATAGGCTGGCAAATCGTAGTCAAATTGGCAGTAGTTGAACGTGGATCCAGGTTGGGAATGTTGCTTTACTTCTATTTGCTTTTGCTAATTCTTTTTTCTTCCAATTCTATGAAAGCTAGCGGTAGTGTTCTAGAAGTTGTAAGGGGTGTCACTTTGACGTTGACGGGATTGCTCTTTTCTCGCAAAAAAATGTTGGGAAGTAGCAACGGAAATTACATTTACCAGTTCCCGCCTTCTTGACAGTCGATTGACTCTAGCAGGCGCCTTTAACGTCTCCGTTGGTTGGGTCGCGAGCTGATGCAGAATGGATTCTCTGCCCAAAGAATCATATATTCATTTACTTCACTGGGAAGTTTATCGTCAGGCTGGTGGCAATCCATGTAAGCTGCAACTCATCTATCACCCGTGCATGTCTTCCTATTCTAAATAAAACGTCATGTTTTTGGGAACATTATCCTTGATGATAGGTGTTCCCCATAAAGTCCTTTTTTTCACTTTGGTGTCGAGCTCCCTTCAGAGCATCCTGATTACCCGCCGCTAGGATGATTGCTCTTATCTTATCAAAGTCCAAAACTTCAGAAAAGCCCTCATCCATGCCTGCAGAATTGCGAGCTCTTCTTCGACTGAGGCTCATAATTGGTATTGTTTTCGACATGCGGATATGTACTGGAAGCATTCCAAGCATCAATTAGAAAGCCCATCTAGTTTTCGCTCTTTGTCTTTATTCGCCTAACATCCAGAAAGTCAATCAAAGTGGAGGATTTTTTTTCGTTTTCTGGTCCACTTTACTGATCACAAAACAAAAAACTCAAAGGCGAAAACAAGGTGAGAAGTATAACGTCGTGGATTTTTCGACCGCTGAGCTCGAACCCACCTGCCAAATGTGTTACACGATTCTGCAAACAAAGTTACGAAACAATTCTACATTGTGAAATATCACTATCTCGAACTGATAACCAAACCAAGCAATTAACACATTAAGCAACAAATGCACATTTGATATGATGGGGGCTCATAGGCATGACATGAAAGTTCGAATCCATGATGCAATCGTTCTTCAGCTAAGGTAATAGAGAAGAGAGTTCTCTCAGTCACCCCAGGCTGATAAGAAGTGTCTTTTAACCTCGAACACTCAAGATAGTTTAAGGAAACTTTTGGCGACTCCACGCATTTCCGACAGAGAGCGGTCAAGTGACCCATCTGACCGGAGCCCTCTCAAGACAAAATACTGTCCTGCTTCTCGAGAAACACTGGCCTCATCTTCGAAACGCGAAATACACTGTCACAAGTAAAATGAGATTTGATGAGGTTTTGTTGTAACACTAGGTAGGATCAATTTATGTTCACATAAGATAATCCAATAATTGTCGTGAAATGTTCTTGACGTAAAGGTGGCGGTGGAACGGTGGTACACGATACCACGGCCGAACCAAAACTCCAGATTCACTCATGGCTTGCTCTGAAATTGTTACCTGTGGAGCCTTCATTGTGGATTTCCGCAATTGCAATTGCTGTCATGCAATGGAATTCCTATTTTCATTTATGGATCATTTATTCGTTCAGTTTCTTTGCTGATCTCCAGAGCCCGAGCTCGATCTGCTCGTTTTGTATTAGTGGTCGCAACCAGTAAGACATTATAATTTGTTAAAAATGAAATAATATGAAGGCTAACGGCTTACCCACTTTCCTTCAGGCGCCCTAAGTGGTGGCGGTCGTGATAAAAATCTTCTTTTCCATGCACGGGTGTACGGCGCTTCTAGGAACTCAGACAATAGAAGACTATGAACTCTTTCACGTGCACCATAACGTTGAAGCAAATGGTGAAAATTACAAAATTGGAGGATACCTTACACGTTAAAAGCTTATACCCTCAAAAAGCTTGAGGTCCCCCCTCGTCGCTGTTATCATCAGACGACCGCAGAGGATCAATGTAGGAAGCTCTTTATTATATTCCATGAACTCTTTCCTCTTATAGTCAATAACGAGGGTGTTCACATAGCATTAAAAGGTATGCTTGAGACGCTCTTCATTACCTCCTGTTCTTTCCTAGATAGGGCGCACGTCATGTCGCAGTAACCAAGTTTGTTTTGCTCGTAATTTGTTGAAAAGCGATTTGATCCTGTGAATAATACTTTGTTCCTAGTTTTTAAAGAAATTTTGGCGCACAATCAATTTATATTTGCTCAAATTGAGGTGTACATCTATCTGGCTGTCGAAGGGAGAGATTTATCCTCTGAGTACAATTCCATAAAAATTGTAAAATGTGAGAGGGTCGTAGATAGTCAATGTTAGGCGAAAAGTCTTTCCGCCAAAGTCAGCGAGACACGTTTCATGTGAATAGAAAATGAGCATGTGCTTCAAGTATCCGAACCTTCACGTCATGCCATGAGTTCCCCGCCCTACCACAGTGCACAGTGTGGTAACTGCTCGGTTCAGTTATCAGTTGACACAGCGGTACAACGCAGGCGTAAATAACTATATAACATTGTTCTCAAAATCGTTTAACAGATTTGAAGAGTAAATATGATATCAGCGTTTGAGAATACCTACGGTAGATTTCATCTCAAATGGTCACTGCGATTACGTATCCTTCCCTTGTTGGAACAGCTGAAACTGGGCTGAATGCACCCTATACACATCACCAATCTTGTCGCTCGCGATGCCTCGTCACACCCCTTTTCAAGATCTCCCAGCAAGAAAGGAGTGCGGTCAAGGAGTTTACAGAGTACCGTCAAGGGTATCAAAGTATAGAAGATTATTTTTGAACTTGTTTCGACATGAATATGCAGGATGAGTTTTCTGCTCACGCGATCGAGCATCACTTTCTGAAGAGAACTTGCGTTTCCTGCTCGTCGTTTCCTACTTCACGCCTATCGGTCATTCCAAGTTTTACATCCTCTCGTAGAAAACCTCTAACCGTAAAGAAGCATTTTTCCAATCTCGGTGCATGAAGTTGGCTACCCATATGATATTGTTTTATGAAGCACAAACCATGATAATACGATCTTATTATGTTCTCTCTGATTTGGGTTGTTCTTTGCGGAGATACTAAAACCAGAAAATACTACTGAGTTGAAGAGCTTATGACGAATCCAAAATCGACAACATCCTCCGATAATCTGTGATAGAAAATAATATTTCTCTGTCGTCATTCTCTCAGACAACCCGATAAGAACTCAGAGTTGATTTATAGAGAGTTAGCTACTGGTCTATTTTCTGCAATGAGGCTCCGAATCCTAATGAATAGTTACGAGCTATTCTGTTCCCTGCGTTGTGCCGATAAACTAAAGTTCCTTGCCGACGGCTTTGTTCGTCGGTTTTATGTGTGTAAAAGCAACATTGCAACTTTTTCTGCCTGTTCGCGTCTAAGCTGCGTATTGAGTAGAACGTAGTGTTTGAAAAACCGCACGGAAAAGTAGTGTTTGATTCATTTGCACTTTGTTTTCTCTGATTTTACTAGTCGACGAATGATCATTTTATCGTAATTTCTTGGTCAGCTATATCGTTCCTACAGTCCCGAAAGGCATTTCGGTTAAACTACAGCTCACACTGAGCTCGAGTACTTCAGATCACCGGCGGTGCTTTTCAAATAACTTGATAAAGAATAAGTGAATGATGAGGTTCTTCAGATAGTTGAAGTTCATTAAAAATCTTAGTGAACCCTTGTTCGCAGATGTCACTGGATCGTCAGATGGGTCAATCAGAATTTGGGAGTGGGGCGTAGGACAACCGACGTATACAGCGCGTGTAGCCGGTCAGCATGCCAAGGTCTTGATCAGTTTCCTTGAGCCTCGAATGCATGCGATCATAAAAGACTTTCAGGTCTCTAGAATTTCTTTCTGCCACGGTGGTAATAAGTTCGCGGCAGTCGATGGGGACGGGATGCTGAGCCTTTGGCAAATCAATCATTCCACACAGCACAAAAAGCCTTACTTCGTGAGTTTCAACGGCTATAAGTTGTTCAAGTTTTTTAGCGTTTCATGCTGGGCACATATCAATGTATAGAACTTTGGATTTTTTGTTGGTCAATTTTTGGTATGTCTCAACTTCAATTATTCGCAGACGGAATAACTCTTTGATGTTGATTTACGATCATTGACAATAACTCATCCACATGAGTGCAAAGTAGGCATTTCGAGGATCAAGATCAATTCGAAGAGAGCGAATTCAGTCGATTCTCACTGAGGAATGGATGAAGTTGGAAACGTTATGTCGGAAAGGTCTTCCAAAATCTTATTCGCATCAGATATATCATGCACGATTTCCCCTCACTCCATTCACCAATTATGCATCGTTCAGTTTCATGGAGAGACTACTCGGATTACTCAGCTAACAAGGGGAAGTTTTCAAGTCGAAGTGGCCATTTGAAATGAGACCTACACTGCTCGATGTATTTTTGATGCTGATTTTAAATCTGCATTCGAAATCTGCCGAACGTTTTTTTTTGAACGAAGTTATGGAGGTTCTCCGGAGAGCGCTCATTAGAGGCAAGCACAAAAGACGTGGTGGCCGGCAGTTCAGCAGTGGCGGCTTGGAGTAGAGCTAGGCGTGGCGCTTCATGGGCATGGTACCAAAGATGGGGTTCGATGGGCGACGGTGTTTTTGCATTTTGCAGGCTTTTCCTCCAAGTTGAAAAATCTTTTTGTATTGTTTTACCTCCTCCAGCGAGTTTTTGGTTGCAGGGGATAAGTCAATTTTTACTTAAATCATGTACTCTAACCACCAACATGACAAAAATTCTATTCTTACACATTGCAAACTTTTTGTGGGATAACTTTTACCAGTCATAAGCAGATTTCATAGTCTAGCACGAAATGTTTGAAACAAAGAAGTTCTTCACAATGAGATCAACGAATTAAAAAAAATTCTCCGCATGCTGTTCCCTCACCATCACTTACTAGACTAGATGGGAAGCAGAACTGTGTAGGTGACTTGAAATCACCTGGATGTGTGCTCAAGAAAGCGGCAGCGTGCATTGAGTAAGAGAGAAATTTCCTAAACCCATGTGCACAGAGTTGAAAGTACACAAGTGTCAGTAACCGGAGAATTGAATAGCATGTATATACGCAAGACTTGAGATCATGAGCTAATGTGTATGATGTGATACGTTTGAATATATTTTTGAATGACAAGAAGAGGGAAACGTCCAGCGGCTGTGACAACCCCATAGTACCAGATGCGATTCATCATCTCAAATGGTTTTGTGAAGATAGTGCCGACTGGATAGCTTCATGATCATTGAAGGATTTCCAGAGTCCACTACCAGCACATTGTTGCTGATGAGTCGGGAGCAGCCACGCATGATCGAACCCACTCCATTATCGATGGCTTGCTCATGGCTGGTTCTACTCGCCCAAACCTCCAAATTCCAAGCATGGCAACCCTTACCTTTCTTGGAAGCTGACTACAACCCCCACCTTTTTCGATAACTAATCGATATCATTGCTCGAAGAAAGACGGATTTGACAGGATTTGGTTCACTTCGAGTGTTCGAGAAGTCTCCGAAGGCAGTAAAGCTAATATAAAAAGATTTTTATAACCTGGAGGCAAAAGCGTTGAAAAATGCAAGAATGCCGTCGTTCTCCAAACCACATCTTTGATCCCATGCTTATGAAGCGTCACGCTTATCTCTACTCTAAGCGGCCACTGCTGCACTGCCGGCGACCATGTCTCCTATGCTTGCCGCTGTTGTGTGCTCTCCGGAGACCATCTCCATAATTTCGTTCTGAGGCTCGTTTGGCAGATATTGAATGCAGATTCGAAATCAGCATCAAAAGTACAGCATGAGTATAGGTCTTATTTCAAATTTCCACTTAAACTTGGGATCCTGCTCTTGTAAGAAGGACTCTTTTTTTTGCTTGCATTTCTTGGCATTGTTCCTGTCGCAGCATACGGTTGTGACTATCATCTTCAGAATACAATGTGTACTACAGATCTGTTACGAAACTCAGGCTTCTCTATTCCATTTCATTCCCTGCTCTATCTGTATTCCTTCTTTATATCTGACTCAAACTACCAAAGTTGGTAAGAAAAGGGAAGATTAGAAATGAAGATATCTAGGTATATTCACCACATACCTGCAACATTTTCAGAAAATTTTGCGCTGAGAATAGTGAAGTTTTCTCAAACGCTGTCAATTCAGGGGTAATGGGTATATGCTTGTGTTTTCTATGGAAAAAACTTGCTTGTGATTGCAATAATGGTTTTCAACAACATTCGATTTCTTCCACTCACTTTCATGGGAAAACACTCCCAAGCTGTTGTCGACTTGAGAAGCACACAGAAAGCAGCGAATCCTGTATTCATCCAATTGATTCCGAGCTGAATCCGAGCGGCAGCTTTTAAGAAAATATGAATATGTCCAGAGACTCGTTGAACATTGCAATCTCGTAGGACTATTTGATATATCGAAATTGAATTCGTGCAAATGTCCTTTGTCGCCTCGGCACTTCGATTAATATGAAGAAATGAAAGTTTCTTTTAGATCTATAGGTTCTCTCATCTAGCCGAAAGCTCCAAAAGGTGCGCGTCGTATGCCTTTTCCCATCAACACTCGTCTCACATTTTTTTTTTGAAGGATCCTCTTTTTTGACATCCGACTGTGTTCTCATTCTTTCCTCTGATCTAACGTGAGGCGAGGATTACCTCTCTCAACCCTCTGACCAGAGCTGACAGTTTTTTGATGATGGTCGCTGAACCTGACACATATTTGATCAGACCGGGGTTTCGAAAAGTGTTCTCAATGAAGCTCATTTGATAGTCATTCTCCCTCTCAACCATTTCTTTCGGAATGCGAATCAGCTCTTTTTGTTCCGAGGTTCTTATTTTTATCATCAAAATTCCACTACGTTCCGAAAAAAGAACGATCATCAGTTTGACAAACTGTGCTGATATACAGTATGTACGTAATTCTCTCTTCGTCGAATGCCCGCCAGAACATGCATCATTTCCGTTTACTCCATGTGAATATTGGTCCAAAGGAGTGATGAGTAGAGGTAAAACGGTAACACGATAATGCTATTCAAAAAACTGACTAAATTCTCGCTATTATCAGGTTGGCAAGAAGGTCCTGCGACAAAAAGGTCATTTTCAATTCATTTCTAGAGTTTTCTTGACCAATCATATATTAGAGATTGGTCCTTTAGTGACAACTGCCTCCTTTGTCCTTTGAATAAATTGCTGATGCCTTTTTCCGGAAGTTGGAAAATCGTAACTCAAACCATTGCTGTTATCTTACAGACTTTTTCCTAGTGTGGGATGCCAAGAAGGCGGAGTTACGGTAATCGAAAGGGGTGACGTTCCGAGAGTACGACTGGTGAACATGGAACCGAACTAGGCCGGAAAACTTCCCACGAGTATTTAAAGCAAAATTTCGACGTGCATTGTCGTCCTGTAGGTACCTAAGTTATGGTTTCAGACGTTTTTTCCAAAATGCGTTTGTCGATTGCTGGGAGTCATATGGGTAAGCGACAGCTGTGACTATATCGCCTGCGTTCGGCAGCTCATAGTAGATGGGTCTTTTCACGCTAAACAAACTATGGGACGAAGCTTGTGTTACATAGAAGGTATAATCTCCTGCAGAGAAGCGGTTCAACCGATTTTTTACCGTTGATGATCAGTGCTTTTAGCAGATAGGTTGCCGATATTTGAGCTGCTGAACTCGCAATTTTCCTATGACTTGGTCAGTAGGGAGTGAAGGTTCGAGTCTGGTACTGCCCAGTAAATGATAGTAAAGTTGTGAAAGTCTTGCATGCTCTTGTTAACATATGCGTTGGTTGTCCAGGGAATGTCAGGGAAGCTAATCACCCGGAATCGCATTCTCTGAACAAAATCGACCAAACTTCGAATTTTGGGTCACAGAACTTTTCCTGTCAACTTAATATTTATGTAAGAAGCTTTTGAAGGACAAATGAGATATTAGAATCACTGTTACAGAATGAGTGTTACGATACATAAAAGGAAAGCGAATAGTCAACTGTAAGATTTCGTGATTTATGAGCCAACCAAGTTCAAAAAAAAACATGGTAAGGTTTCGACAGGCTATACCACTATTTGATCGGAAGGAGGATGGCACAGCGTNAATTGTCTGACACCGCACGCTGTGGTAGACGTGAGATTGCACACTAAGCAATTTGAATCCTTGAGAGTGGCTGGAGCTTCTGCTATCTCCCTCGTTGATTATATTATAGGAAGCTAAAAAAAGTAATATTGCCGCAATAATCAATTGGTTACAGAGATGTACATTTTTGACAGAAAAATCAATTATTTTGACGGTGTACAACAGATGGGACGGCATGTATGATGAAAGTTATGAATTTTTGATCTTAGGAGAGGATACCAGGTCGCAGTGGCCGTTCGAGATGAGAAGTATACCGACGTAGATAGTTTCGAACGCTGATCTCGAAACCGGGCTCTAAATTACCGAAACGATCCTGGGAACCAAGTAACGGACCCACCTTCCCCAGGTGTCATGTCACTTTGTTGCTTTTATACGAAAACCAAGCAGTGCTTAAACGTGCGCCAATGGCGCAGTTGGGAGGTCGATGGGTTGATAAACGTGACACGAATCCTTGATGCATGCGCTTGTTTTACCTTTCATAAAAAGTGTCCTAAACTCTTGCAAAACCCTTTTACACATCATATATACTGTCTACAGCCCTCATATTTATGGAGCACCAGAAATGCTAATACAAGTATATTTTTTCGTCGGCTCCACAGAACGAATGGGGAGGGATAAAAAGAAACATGAAAACCTTCTGCTCCCAGCTCAGGCTATTGCGCTTTTGAACGAGGTAACGCCCCTCTATGGGTAGAAGTGAGCTGGTACAATTCAGCTGTGATTTTTGTGCAGAAATACTATCTAAACAGTAGGTGGTATTTTATGAACAGAGATGTTAATCCAACACAAAGTGGTTCGGAGCAGAATAGCTTCTCAC